CCGAGCTACCTGCGAGGGCGAAGTTGTCTGTCCGATACCGGGGTGGGTCGGGCGGGACGAGCTGCGTCCTTAGCAAGGCGTCGCTTCTCATAGTCTGTGAAGATGAGCGGTGCAGAAGTCTGCAAATCTTCACTGGAGATCCACCGAGTGTCATCAGGCRCACATTGCTTGAATGTGACCTTGTACTGCCTTGGCTTGTTGCCATACTTGCGGTGCGTGATGACTCGGTCAACTTCCTGATGTCCGTCCATAGAAGGCGGATCCTGTGATCGACGTCCGGGGAATTCGTCAGCTGGAGGTGGCATGTAGATGGCCAACTTCGATGYATGGAARACCCGATGYAYYGBTAGGTGCGGTGGAATGTTGATCACGAAGGAAGGACCTGCGGGGTCGTATCCAACGGCAGAAGTGACTTCCCATGGTCCGAACCATTTCGGAAGGAGTTTGCGCGAAACATCCTGCTAGAGCGCAAATTCCTCGGAGAGGACCCAAACAAGGTCTCCCTCGCGGAAAGGACATGGAAGTCGACGTCGGTTAGCTTGCTGCTGCATGCGGACCTGAGCCTTTTGCATATTGGCGCGGGCTTTGATCAGCAAGTCCCGATACTTCCTGACAGAAGCGGGAGAGCAAGGGACGTCTATGTCGGCAGCCTGAGGCAAAAGGAGATCAGCGAAATTCCGTGCTTTCTCTCCACCATGATGTAGCTCAAATGGTGTGACACAGATCGCCGGGTGCACCGAAGTGTTGTAGGCGAACCCTCAGAGCCTGTTTTTGCCGATCCTGAATTTCACTGCGCTCCGAGTTTGCCGAACCTGGGTACCACTCCGTTTTCTTTCTGGTACTCTCACGGAAAGAACAAAATAAAAAATGAAGAAGCAAAGTTGCGATTGTGAACTCTGAAAAAAAAAAAAAAAAAAAAAAAAAAAAAAAAAAAAAAAAAACGAAACGAAGTTTTGGTCGTGATTGCAGTTGTATATATCCTTGGAAGTGGTAGTGTGAGTGTGCCCTCAGTGAGGGCATCTCAACCCCGTGGCCAGATGATCAAATTCGAAAAAGAGAACAAAAGGGGGAAAAAACGGGCACATGGATCTGCCCTTGAAAATGGTTGGATACATTCCCCTTAGTACCAATGTGATGAGTGTTACAATCCTCTTACAAAACACAACTTGAGCAGATCACGGACGGCTTGAGCAATTCACGGATCCCCCCCTGCCTCGTTGGCAGGGGACTTATAAGAAACACACAAGCAAGAAAAAAACGAAAACAATAACATCCGGAATATGACCGCCTTACCGGTGAGGTGCATTCTGTGGAGGAAGACTCTTAGGTTGCTAAAAGTATTATTCAATCCAAGCACGCTATTGTATGGTTTATACTAAAAGAAGTGCTCGTGATGTGCTACAAGTGCTCTTTGGTCATTTCAGTTGAAGATCCGACTAGTTCCAGCCGGATCATATGAGGAACTTCTGTTATCTTTTGATAACAGGTCGGTTTACAATTCAATTCCAACTCGTTCTCGAGACTCAACCTAAGGTCTTAGCCCCTGTGGGTTGAATTGTTTCTTTAGTTTTTTACCCGAATTTTTACTACATATAGATGTAAAAAGGACCAAATGTTTTATTTTGGAAGGTTGGACAAAGGTTGGGGCTTGTGTAGATAAGGCAAGGGGTGTGAGTGCAGAGAGTGGTTGAAGTTGACCCCGTGTAGTGTGTGCTCTGTCGATGTGAAATCTTTGATGTGATTGCAGGTATGCTTTGTGAGTTGAAGTCCAGATTTGACTTTGCCTCCGATCATATGTATGTTTATGAGAGTGATCGCCTCACGTCCTATAATCCGCTGTATTTATATTTTGTATATTCGCGCGATCTACCATGATTGTGCGTAAAGATCAAGCTGATTTGTATTGAGAGAAAAGGAATATATCTTTTTACCTTTTGCTTCTTACAAGTTTTATAGTTGGACATTAAACCACCAGTACTTGGCCCAACTATTGATCTCGAGCCTGAATATGCCTTGCGCGCCAAGTTTTGTCGAGCCGCCACTGCTCCGTTTCGACTTTCTTTTGGCTGGCGCCTCCAGCCATTGCGGTTCGGTAGGCCGAAGCCCATCAGTCGCGGCGCGTTAATGGGAAAACCAGCGACCGATGTATGGGCCAAGTACTGGTGGTTTAAGGTCCGTGGCAGTTGTCAAAGTTAAATTCCTTGACATGTTTCAAGGCCTCCAAGGATGGAGCCACATTCCCAGGGTCAGAGGCGTTTGGCCGCCACAAAGAGCTGAAGCGCGCCTACTACTCTTAGCAGTGTGCAGAAGAAGGTAGGTCCCGCAATCTTGCTTGCGATAGTCTAGCGCCGAGAGAATAGCCCCTTAAGGCGGGTGTCAGCCGACACTTGAGTGTTGAAAGCGACCTCCGAAATCATTGAGGTCCGCATGATTATGGGTACCATATAGTACGCCATCACTGTGACTGCTTGCGTATTCATGCATGGCTAGTTGATATGACAAAACCCATGTCGCCGAAATATTCATTCAGAGTTCCGTGAGTGCCATTCGCTTATTTTGTCATTAAAAGTTATGGGTTGGATATAAAAGAGGGGCTAGGCACGATATGTGTTGAGAGTTGGTTTTATTTTGACGAGGTGTACCGCGTGGCTAGATGGACCGTCCTAGTCGACCGACGCAAAGTCACGCTTGGAAAATCAGCCCCAAAGTGCCGGCTCGTGTACGGGTCCAATTAAGGCGTTCGACCGCGCGTAACCCCTATGCTACAACGTACGAGAAACGCCCTCGGTTGGGCCACCTCTGCGATTGCACTCGAGCAGCTTTCGCACGTGGTTCGGTAGCTCGGCGGGGATATGCATGTCTAAGGGTGGGGATAACCCCTTGGGCAAATGTAAGTTGTGCCTCGCGTGGCTTCGATCCTGTCGTAGGGATTCGCGAGACGTGCGGCTGGCGCACTCGGCCAGAGTGGCAAAAACTCCACTGCGAAAAAGTCCTGCAAAAATCTTGTGTGATGCGGTCGGGAGGGTTTGCTTGCGGCACCGATGCGCTTGACACCGTATCTGGGATCGAAGTTGCACCAAGTACAGCTATAATGACTAGGCGTTCTATTCGGGTGAAGACGGTAGCTATTGGGCAGCATTGACTGCCCTACTGTTTCTAGCCATGCGGTAAGTTGCAGAAGCAAGCAGCAACGCTTCAGCAACAATTTGAATGAACGAGTGTTTTCCCTTGGCAATGCAGCGGCCTTTTGCCCTTGCCGCAGTTTGCAATCTTTGAACTTTTGGACCACTGGCCTGTCGGCCGTGGTTGCTGACTGATTTCAAATGTCATCTCCTTGGATGCTGCTGCTATTTTTGGGACTCGGAGTCGTTTGCTGGAGACTGGACTTCTGCAGCCTACCAGAGAGTTCCACTGATGGACTGGAACTTACAGTGGCAATTTCACCTGAAGCCCTGAGGGGCTTAATTATAGCTATTGGTTGGACTGTGCTACATGGATGTGGAAGCCTGGAAATTATAGGACCAGGCCTCAGATTTGTGAAACCCTTTCATTGCTCTCTATACACTTGAATGGCGTTACTGTGAAAAAGAAAGAGTCAACAGCAATTTCGTCAAAACGGACATATTTTATTTTTTGAACGAAATTGAAAACAAAAAAATTGGCCCGATTTAGGTCGATATTTTCAGCTCCAGGGGGTACGGCGTTCTGAAAACGCCCTACCCCCTGGATGCAAACTAAGTCCAGATACATCCAGGGGGGTACGGCGTTTTCAGATCGCCGTACCCCCTGGACTCCAGCTAAGTCCAGATACATCCAAGGGGTCCGGCGTTTTAAGGACGCCGGACCCTCAAGAGCTAGAAATTTCCACCTAAATCTCTCTAATTTATGAGGTTTCAATTTCGTTCAAAAAATAAAATATGTCCGTTTTGACGAAATAGCCATTTATGTGACATAGTATGGCCAAACAAGGAATTTCCATTGATACTCCCATTGTTAAGCTAGTCATTAATAGTTATTATTGTGCAACATCTCTCATTAATATTGCTAAGAGAATGTGTTTGTCTCCCTCGGTTTTGCAGGTTCTTTCGTACATGTACTTCGGGGCCACGTGTGCAGCTCTTCGTGGTGTACATGATTTTCGTAGCATTTTCTCTGAGGCATATCCCTTTGCTAAGGAACTGCGTTCCACTCAAATGTTTTTGGGAGCTTCCATTCTTGGGCTTTTTGCGTGTGTTGTATTCATGTTACCCCTACCTCTTCTTGTGATTAGAAGTGTAGACAAGCTGATCTAGGAGAACGAGAAACTGAAGAGATTCTCCTTTCCGATCAATTCTTGCAGATATTGGTATGTAAAATGTTTTAGTGTCGACGGACCCGCAAACATTGTGTGAGCTATCGACCTTAGAACTACTCAGTATCTATAATTACTGCATGCTGCTTACGCTGCATAGAGATGATAGCAAATGCTATTTGGCACGTCGAACAGGCCTCAGCATTTTTCTTTCCCCATTCTCAGCCCCTCAGACCACAAGGAGCATATTGACGTGCAACACAATGCGACAGCTTTTCAATTTTCGTGCTGGAACTGCCGGCCAGGAGCGACTACCATGTCAAGCACTAGAAGAGTTATTGCAGCCAATCTGCTCTGGGAATGTATGTACAGTTGGATATTATCCGAAGCCCACATGATTTTTGGGAACCTTTTAAAGTTCCTTTTATGCTCTTCATTCGACTTATGTCCCTGCCATATTTTGTTTTTGGTCATATTCTGTTTTTAGTCATCCTGAGGATTCAAATGTGATGCCAACCTTTGGGGTTGGTGATTGATTACCAGCTGCCTCCGGACAGGTACTACTAGGTGGTCAGTATGGATCTTGGTCCTATTTGGAAACTTATCAGTGACAGGTGATTGGATCGACGGGAAGCAGCAAAGCACACTGCTAGCTTTCACTCTCAGGTGATGGATGAATGCCTGCAATGGAGCAGAGACGCGAGTTCGGAGGCTGCTGCTACTCGTTTCCGGTGGCCAAAACAAGAAGGGAGGGGAGGTCAGCTTCATATGGGTACCTTTCTAATTGCCCTTTCAGGCCTTAACGACCAGAACGGAATCAACTCTGCGAACTCAAGTTTTGGCTTCGGCACATGAACTCACATCAGACACACTGCTTGCTTACACTCTCAAGTGATGGATGAATGCCTGCAATGGAGCAGAGACGCGAGTTCGGAAACTGCTGGTAGTCGTTCCGGGCGGCTGGCTTCGGCATATGAACTCGCATAACATAGGTTGCAAAAAGGAGCTCAATCAAGTGAGTGACAGCAGCAAGCCTAAGCCGTTGGATTTCGGCCAGAGTGTAACAGCAGCGAGCCTAAGCCGTTGGATTTCGGCCAGAGTGTAACAGCAGCAAGCCTAAGCCATTGGATTTCGGCCATTTCAGCCAGTGAGTGGCGACCAGGTGCTCGACCACATGGTGTTCAAAAGAGGGCCCCAACTCTTGGTGTCTGGGTGAGTATATCGTCTCCCAGTTGGGGTGGGTGTTTGTTACGCTGGTCCCTAGCATTTAAGAGAGTGACAAGTTCCTTTGCCTATAATCTATTAAACCGCCTGTACTTCCTAAAGTCGTGCTCTTTAACAAGCCACAATTTTAGGAAACGTACGGGCCACTACAAGAGCGCCCAAATTCATCCGACTAGAAACGTTTCTACTCTATTTTTTTTCCGCGGCCGATAGCTGGGCCAAGTACTGGTGGTTTACGTCTCCCCTTTACTTCTGGGATTATATTATTTTTTGTGCTTTGCATTTTAAATTATTACTCTATGACTTGAAGGCAGACGAGTGACTGCACTGATGGCCCTCAAGAGGGAAGGGGCCCTTTTGGTAGAAAGAAGAAAGCAAAACGATGAGGAAACCAATGGCTAGCGGCATGGAGTTGGGACATGAGTGGGCAAACTGGTTCTGTATGGAACTACTGGAAGTTCCCAAGGACCTGGGCACTCTGTACTATGTCTCTTCCTGAGAGCATATACTCACGCCACAGGTTGTATCACGTACCACCCTTTTCCATAGAGCCTCCCACACAAGGACTTTCTTGACCAAGCCTGACTATTAATCATGGCTTTGCTCAAATAATGGCAAGTATACTTCAGAGCGTGCAAACTCGGCGCAGAAATATGATCTGCAGCCTGCTGTAGAATGATAACTATGTTGTAACACTGTCAGCCGCTAAGTTGGCTCAGATGTAATACCAGAGTGGCCCCCGACCCAAATACATTAAGGAAAGTACAAAGGGTAGTACGCTATAAGCATATGTCATTGAATGATCAGTAGTTTGTTTGGTGTTTTTCTTCTTTCCCTCTCTCAAAGAGGATACAACCCCTGTTTTGTTCTGGAGGGGGGAATCCGATCCAGTCCGGTTAATTATCCCCGGCAAGCATAGAGAAATAATGATCAGTAGTTTGGTTACTTTGTTGATGATAAGTCAACCCTCTGGAGCGACAGTCGCTCTATTTTATTGAGCAAAGCCAACATTTCACAATGTCAGTGATAGCAGTGGAATGAAAAAGCCTGCAGCTCAGGCTAGTGGGGCAGAAAGCCTGCAGCTTTGACATTATAAGGCGGAAGCTGTAACACGTTATGGAATTTTAGGGATGCAGCTCAGGCTATGGTTTGTTATGATTTGTGGAGGAAATGAGAGAGAGAATTTGGGGTCCTTTAACAACACACACACACACACACACACACACACACACACACACACACACACACACACACACACACAACACAACACACTTTCCGGTCTTGTTAGCTCTTTGTTTTGGAAGACGTGAGCGGCTAGGATCGGGCTCGTACTAGCGAGCTGTTTTCTCTTTTTGTGGTTGGATATGTGTTGTCGGTTTTGTTGATTATACACGGCCTAATTATGTGCCCTGCTTTAGAGCATGGGCTGTTTGGATGTTTACGGGTGGCCACAAGTTCTCTTTGGGGGGAATGTAGGTTTTGTGGGCCAGCGTGGAAGGCTTTCCCAATTTTTTTCGGACCCTTAGCAGGGGGGGGTCGGTGCGTTCTTGCTGGAGGGGTCTTCTGTCTTAGGTAAGTTGTCTCTTATCTTCTTTCTCCTCTTTGGCAGTGACGCAAGTGTGTAGTTTGAGATGAATGTCGGGAATGCCAATGCTGTTATATTTGTTTGTTTTTGGCAAATGAGTTTTTGGTTTTGTGGGCCGATGCGGAAAGCTCTCCAAGTTTTTTCAGACCTTTGTGGGGGTCGGGCCGGTGCCTTCTTGCTGGAGTAGTCTTCTGTCTTAGGTAAGTTGCCTTCTGCCCTCCATCCCCTTACGCTTTGAAATATATATGTATGCTGGAGTAGTGCAATCAGAGTCACTTTCTTTTCCACTTCGCATTCGTGCAAACAGATGGCAAGTCATACTGGCGCTCGGCGCCCACTCAAAGCTCAGAGATATGGAAGTCGGAAACACAGTTCAGATACATGCTCGCTTCAACAGGCTATGGCGCATCAGCGCCTGTACAACTCCTGTTCGTCACTGTGCTCAACTCCGCTGTTCACACACACTCAACTCAGGATCACCCTGAATGTCCCACACGCGACACACTGTATCACACACACGCACACACTACACTCTCCTACCACCTATGGCGGCTATGGCCGCTCAACCCTGCTGGCTATGGCTATGCCCGCTTCGTCTTCGGGCGCTCTGCAGACCACCTCGCACAAGTCGCTCAAGCAGCGCTTCCACATGGCTTACGCAGGAATGAATGAATGGCTGGACGCTGCCTCTTGATTTATACTTCTGTTCGTGGCTGGTCTGCCTCATTTCCACTGGGCCCTGAGTGCACACAGTCCGACATGGTACTTGCTGACTGGACTAAGTAAGACTGGGACTGGGTACCGCTGACTCCGCATGGGTGGACCTCACCACTTGCCCACTTGCCTCTGGACTGCTGTGAGCAACGTTTGAAGGGCCACTTCCAGACCTTTCGGAAGTCTGTGGACTTGGCCCTTCGACACTTTACCAGCTACGACCTTGACCGTAAGGACTGTAGCAGCTACAACCTTGACCTTTCAGAAATCCTACAGCTACGATCCCAGCTACAGACTTAACCCCTACGCGACAGACCTACGGTTCAAGACCCGACAGACTCACTGGCCTACGACATACAACAACTGATTTGTAAGACACAGGTTACGGGTTCAAACACACAGGGGAACGAGGTCTAGGGAGCCCTGGGATCTGCATGTGCTACTGCGAAGGTGAAAACTGTTTCACTCCCGCCGTCCTAAAATCGAGGTCCTCCGAGAATATATCGGGCAGGACCTTTCCCCTTTTTATCCCTCTCGTAGGCTCTAACTATGTCGAGAGTCGTCTCTAGAAGTTCGGTTTTGGTATACCAGCGGTCGTCCTCTGGTTCTTGATATGCAAATCGAACCTTGTACTGATTCTGTGGACGACCTCTACCCCCTGTTCTAAACACATCTTCCCCTACAATGCCGTCAATGTCGTACCTCCCATCCATATCCGGAGGGATCATAGATCTTCTTGATGGAAACTGCTGACTTGTGACACGGCAACAATTTGGATGCAGGAAATGCAGGGTAAGTGTGGAGGTGTACTGGGATCTCTATCGTATAGGGTGCCCCATCTTCTCCGCCCTTTATTTCCAGAACTGGCCACGGTCCTCAGTACGCTGGCAGTAGTTTCTGCGAAATGTGTTCCTCAGGAGCAAAGTCTTTGGACTTCACCCAGACTAAGTCGCCTACTTGAAACTGTGATGGGTGACGGTGCTTGTTAGCCTGCTCTATCATTCTGTGCTGGCCTTTCCTGAGGTTCTGCACAACAGTAGCTAACTCTCTTTCGTGCTGGATTGCAAACTACCTAGTATCGGGTTGTAGCCTCTGAATCTGATCCCGGTTAAGTCCCTAGAACGGTCTGCGTGGTTTAAAGGATTTGTGCAGCTCATTGGGAGTACGGCAGGTGGCTAAGTGCACGCTATTGTTATACGCACTGGCTACCTTGGGCAACATCTCATCCCAGTCAATCTGATCCGGTCTAATATACATGCGTAAAACTTGTTGCAGGATTTTATTCATTTGTTCAGTCTGACCATTAGTCTCTGGATGACGGCCAGATGACATCAGCAACTTTGACCCATAGACTTTCATCAATTCCTGCCAGTTATGACTAGTGAACCGGGTGTTTCTATCGCTAACTATAGACAGCGGAATCCCATGATCACTAACCCAATGATAAAAAAACTTTTGGATTACTAAATCAGTACGTGCCTCTGCAGGCAAAGGAACAAAAACTGCGTATTTACTAAACATATCGACTATAACCATGACTTGGCTTTTGTCGTGCTTGCTCTTGATGCTAGCATCCATGAAATCAATGGACATCGAGTCCCTTGGCTGATCAGGAATAGGCAAAGGTCTGAGAAGGCCTAGAGGGGCACGGGTAGGAGTTCTATTTCTTTGACGAACTTAACAACTGCGAACGTACTTTGTGTGGTCGGCTTTTATTTCCTGCCAAGTATACGCATGCTTCAGGTTGGCTAAAGTCTTTTGCCAACCGAAATGTCCCTCTGTGTCGTGGCATTCCCCCAGGATCAAACTACGGAGCTCCTCACTGTTAGGGACGCACAAATGGTCTACTGCATTGGTCTTCTTGAATAGTAAGCCCTCTGTAGTGCGGTAATCCGGTTCAATCTTTGGGGCCTCCTTAACCCTCTTGAGGAGGTCACTATAAATAGGGTCCTGCGCATATGCCTGTCTTACTTTCTCTTGCAGGTCTCTCTCTATATCCAGACAGTGAACTATAGCTCCAAAGTAATCCGATTTCCTTCCACAACTGCATTGTACTTACCTTTTACAGGCTTGCGCTCAAAGTCATACTGGTTTATCTTAGCGGCCCACCTAGTTAACTTAGGTGTCATCTTGGCCTGCGTTTCAGCCACCTAAGGGTCTCATGGTCTGAATATACTTGGAAGTGCCTCGCAAGCAGGTAGTGCTTCCAGTGTTCTAAAGCCTGCCTGAGAGCGTAGAGTTCTCTCTCATATGTCGAGGTGGTTGCCTTCTTTGAGGGCATCCTCGCTAACATGAACTCTACGGGTTTATAGCCATTGCCGTCGTCCTGCTGCAACACGACGCCTAAACCATACTGACTCGCGTTCGTGGTGAAGAGAAATGGCAAGGACGGATCTGCTACCTTGAGGACAGGAAACTCTATCAACGTGCTCTTTAACTTCTTAAGCGCGGACGTACAATCTTTGTTTTACGTCCAGATCGCTTCTTTCTTTAGCAACCTGTGAAGGGGAGCGGCGATAGTAGAGAAGTTCCTCACAAACTTTCTATAGTAGTTAGCTAGGCCTAAGAACGATCGCAATTCTGTAAGTGTGTGGGGCGTCAGCCAATCTTGAATCACCGCTATCTTGCTATCCTCAGGCTTAATCCCATCTCCGTCTAAAACGTGACCCAAGTATAAGACGTAAGTCTTGGCCCACTTACACTTCTTCGCATTGATCTTAAAGTAAGCCTCTCTCAGCTTCTCCAAGACTTGCCTCAAATGACCCTGATGTTCTTGGAGGATCTTACTGAATACTAATATGTCATCTAAATAGATAACTACAAATCTATCTTACCAAGGCCTGAACACATCATTTATACAGAGTTGAAATGTGGTTAGCGCATTGGTCAGTCCAAAGAGCATCACTATGAATTTATAATGCCCATATCTAGTTCGAAAGGCAGTCTTGTACTGGTTATCAGGATGAACCTTTATCTCATGATATTCGGACTTCAAATTTATCTTTGAAAAATATTTGCAGCCGTGCACTCGATCTAAGAGATCATCTATCCTAGGCAGCGGCTCAGCATTCTTCATTGTGATAGCGTTCAGACCCCTATAGTCTATACACATGCGTAGCTCTCCCTCCTTTTCGGGGACAAACAAAACTGGTGCTCCAAAAGGAGACAAATTGGGCCTAATACAACCCTTTTCGAGGAGTTCGTTCAACTGCTTGCGTAACTCCTCTAACTCGCTTGGGGACATCTTGTAAACCGCGCCCTTAGGAGTCTTACTGCCAGTCTCTATCGCTATACGGTGCTGGATCGGTCGCGGCACTACTCCTGTCGGCGGCTCTGCTAAATCTTTAAACTCTTCCAACAGCTTGGCAATGGTTGGGTCCATTGGCTTATCATCTTTAGGCTCAGTGACAGGCCTTATGTACGATACGAGGACTTGCTCCTCTAATTGTTCCTTTCTCACTAATCGCGCAAATGCGGGAGCACTGAGACAACAATGTGCCAGAGAGTTATCTATTTTTCACACATGGAACAGAAAGGCAGTCTTAACCTCCCTTGGCGGACTAGGGAGCCTACACTTATGCTCTCTTAAGTGGAGTGTGGCCCCTGTTGCCTCCCCAGATCCATACCTTTATCGAAAGGGAGATTGTTTTCTACGAGGAGAGTCGGGGAATGGAGAACTTTCTCCACCTTCCAATCCTTTTCGAGGCGAAGATACGCCTAGACTCCCTCTACCAGGCTCTACGAAATCCTCGACACGCATCGTGCGATTGTTTGCGAGGACACTGACTATGGGGTCTTCCAATTTTTGGACTTTCAGACCTAGCCTCAGCTTCTTCAACGCTCTACGACTAATATAACTACGGGTAGTCCGTGTATCTATAAGGGCCTCCACTCGGCTCCTGAAAACTTCTAAATCTCCTAAAACTACTTGTCCCTTACTCTCTTTCTTCATTTTAGCGCAAGGCGGCATCCTCTCCTTCAACTCTTCTGCCAGACTTGTGAGGAAAGTGCCTAGAGAGACTCTAACACAGACAACCTCTTGACAGCTAACTAGGCACATGCCTGCAACCTCTGTCATAGGCTCATGTGGTGTGGGAGTTTCTTGGTGGTGTGCGCACACTTCCCCACATGGCCTAGTGGTAAGGGCAGTTGCGACCCCTACCGGCGATTGCCTTTTGACCCTTGGGCAGCGAATCGGGCTTCCCTATACGTGGACAATATTTAATGATATGGGCAGGGTCATCGCAGTAAATGCACTGCCCCTGCTCCATCCGTTGTTGCCACACACGCTGATCTAAGCCCAGATCTTCCCAAGGCCAGCCCTGTGGCCAGCCTGGGTGCCAACCTCCTCTCCTCTGAGGTGATCCTCCACCTCTCCGCTGCGGGGATCGACTGGGACCCGAACGATTCGGCGGGGGACCTTGACCCCTACCTCCCTCTTGGCGGTTTCTTGGGCTGCCAACCTCTTGTGCGCCCGGACCTCGACCTCCCGTGGCCCGGCCCCTTTGGCCCTGGCCGCCTCCTCTACCTTGCGGCCTTCCTCCAGCCGTGACAACAGCGTACGCCGTGCGTCCTCCCTTGACCCACACTACTGTCGTCCTCCTGTAGCCCCCACTCAATTTGACTGTAAGGGACTTCATCAGACACACCCTCGTCTGATCCTTGGCCCTAACGTGACCCGAGATGTTACGTCCTTTCCATTTTTGTCCTTTATCCAAATCCTTGTGCCAGAAAGTGGAAACTAGCATGGATTTCGCCTCAAACAGGACCATTTCTCTACTTAACGCATCTTACGTAATGTTGGCCTGTTGGGTTTTTTCAAAGAAATGCCCTCGCAGGGGCTCTGGCATGGCACGATAAAACAAGTTAACAAACTGGGTCTCGGTGACCCCATAGTCCGGGATGACAACCAGATCATCCATCACTGCCTTGAGTGCTCTTGCACTCTTCCACTGCCTGAAGTGGATTGTTTGCAGCTTGTCAGAGGCCCTGACGCCTCCCGTGTCGTCAACGAACCTCTCTCGGGAGTTTGAAGAAATGAGGAAGGGGGGAATTTTGGAATATGCAACCATGTTGTTTTCACAACTATCTGCTCGCGCGAGGGACCTGGTAAAACTAGCTGCTTCATCCTTCAAAGCATGGAAGGCTACAAGGACTTGTTCCTTAGGTAAAATATGCTGTAAATATACATAATTGTTGACACTAGCCTCCCAATTATTGAAATTCTCATCCTTTTTCCCGCATAAGAGTCGGGAAACTTGAGCTTAACAGGCTCTTTGCAGGTACGACCCTCACTCTTTGACGCGGCCACTACTTTGGTGCCCTCAATGGCGCCTGCACATAATTTCTCAGGGGTCTCGCTAACTCGGGGCGATGTGGTGAGTCCTTATCCATCAGTCAAATGCATCCTGGGCAGAGTGTCCGGGTTCAACCTCCTGATGAGTCGGTGAAAGTCTGATGAAACAGTCTGGGACAGTCATGCTTATTTTGAGTGTATAGCGAATATGACAACACACACGCACACACACACACACACACACACCCAAGCTGAAGATCTGGAGTGAAATGAACAGGAGTATGAAGGGCTGAGGAGAAATGCACAGGAGCATACCTTCCTCTTGAAATAGCGTGCAAGTGGGCCGTGAGGGCACACGGGGATGTGGCCAGCTGCCGCTCACCCACGATCAACGTGGGCAGCCTTGTACGTAAGAGGCACAGTAAAAAGGGAGCTGGAAAAACAAATGGAAGGGGTACCCTGAGGACAACCAAAAGACTGTCTAATTATAAAATTGCTGTAATATGTTGGACTGTCTCATCTCAAATGCTCTCCTTGTCTGCAATAGGACAAAGACTGGATAAAGTCTGAATCTATTCATCTCGGTGGAATTGGGGCTGTTGTGGGGAAAATCTATAACACACACACACACACACACACACACACACACATACATGCACGCCCACACACACGCGCCCACACGCGCCCACACACACTCGCCCACACACACAAACACACAATTACACTGTCACACACACACGCACATGCATACACACACACACACGCACATGCACACACACGGACACACACACACACACAGTGCGGCGCAGTTGATGCTCCTCATTAGGCGCCCGTGAGGTGCCTTTGTTTTTCGTTTCGTTTTTTTTTTTTTTTTTTTTTTTGAAGTGGCGTGAATGCAGATTTGGCCGTGTTTTTTCTGAAGTGGCG